CACATAGGCACTCTCAAGCTTCTCACATGCCTTCTGTAAGGCACTTTCTTCCTGGCAGAACAGTTCAACGACCACAAAGGTGACCTGGTTCTTCGCCACAGCTTCACACAGTGAAACGTACTCCTCAGGAACAAAAGAACGGTTTACCGGTTCTTCTGCAGTCAGGCGTTCCAGCTCAAACTCACCCAACTCGTCTTCAAAAGAAACCAAACCGGTTACCTCGTACAGGTTGTCCAGCTGCTCCTGAAAAACCATACTCTTGGTCAGGCCGTCGGAGGCATTATATGCTCCGGCCACAAACTCGAGGATCACTCTCCCCGACTGAACCATCTGCTGCAGGAAAGCACACCGCAACTCCAGGTGACGAACCCTTCTCAAGAGTCCCTCCATTGAAGCAATCGCCTTTGCCGACTCAGAGTCGGTACAAATCCGGATCCAAAAGCTTCCGGTATCATCCTCAGGCAATCCCTCCAAAAACGACTGTTGAAGCAACCCTGCAAACAAAGCCTCTTTCACAGTCTCTACCAAAGCACTCAATTCAGCCTCGGCACTGCTCAGGGCCACAACCGTCTGTTTACGGCTAAAACTCTTCAGCAGGTTGCACTGCCAGCAGATAATCGCCCCACTCACAGAGGGCAAATTCCAGCTAGCATCACAGAAACAATCGATCACACGCGTACTTTCCGAAGGGCGATAGTTCACCCACTGTGCCGGGATCCGCTGAACCCGATTCCCAAGCGTGAGAATCCAACGCAGCACAGCTCGAATACACGCTTCACTCCTGGAGTCTGGGTTGCTCTGGCTCCGGGCCAGAAAACCTACAACAAACTGCAAATCAGCTCTTGTCAAAGCTAGCCACGACAGTTTGCCCAACACGCGCCGGTAGCGCTGATAGGCCTCATGCGTGATCGGGGTGGATTCCAGACTGGTCCACAAACGCTCAAGCTTGGGGAGTTTCGCTCCCTTCGTGATTTGATACTCTTCCGCACAGCTATGGAGCATCCCGGGTTTGAGTCCGAAGTACAAGTCTCCGGTCTTCCTCTGATAAATGTTTCTCCCAAGGAAGGAGATCACCGATTTCTCTCCCGGTTGAAGCGTTCCCGTGCGCTTCATCTTGAACACTTTACTCAGTTCCTCAAACACTTTCTCAGCTACACTCGCAACCGTGCTGAAAACCAAGATGTCATCTACATAGGCCAACACCAACACAATGGCATCCTTGCCTTTCTCCTTGATCACCTTGCGATACACAGTGCTGTCAGCAGTAACAAAGAAACCAAGTTTTCTCAGTGTTTCTCCTAGCTCACGAAACCAAGCCAAAGGCCCAATCCGCAAACCATTCATGGCACGCTTCAGCAGACAATGCACACGTTCACCTGACACTGTCCTACAGTTCTCCGGCAGCTTCACCACCTCAGTAGAAAACAGCTTAGCCTGCATAAAGGCCACAGAAATATCTCCCGAAATCACCTTCCCTCCGAAATGCGCATACATCCCCAACAGACCCCTCACAGACTCTAAGGTAGTAGTAGGAGAATAGATGCCATCAGCTAAAGCAGAGGTGGGCCCTTTAAAGTCACGCACAACCAAACGGCAGCGCACACGCTTGTGCCCGTCCTTGTAGTGCAACACCCACCTGGTGGAAAGCACTCTCCTCTTAGCTTCCCGCACAAGGCGAAACGCCTCCTTCTCAGACACAACCTGGCACACACCAAAGTGGTCCAGTTCCTCCATTTCAAGACGCATCCCTTCCCCAAGTTTCTTCTCCTCAAGAACCTCCCCAGTATACTCATCAGCAGCCCCAGAAGGAACCTCAACCTTCACCTTGGACCCTCCAAACTTCAAAGTAAACTCCAACTTGGCCGCCCTAGACCCTTTAGCGTCCTTTGCCGCGAACACAACCTCAGGTCTAGAACACATGGAGTACAAAGCATGGTCCTCCAGCCAGCTGATCGCCACCTCCATGGGATCATCATCGTCGGCCGGCTGCATGTCCACATCGTACAAAGTTGGGGCCTCGTTCTCTCCTGCAGGGGGACCTTCAGGGAGTACCTCTTCCTCCTCAACTGGAGAAGGATCATAGTCCATAAGCTCATCCTCCAAGAGCTCAGCTGGAGCCTCCGGCTCCGCACTCCCCCTCTCAACTAGATTACCCTTAGGCTCTCCAGGCTGAAAGGCTTCGGGGGGCTTCAGGTCTAAGGAAACAGGACGCTCTAAAACGTTGTCTTGCCTAGAAGGGGCACCCGAATCAGCGGCTTGTACCACCAACTCCTCAGGATACAGGTAAGGCTGGTCCGGCCGAAAGGCCGACATCACCTCGACCTCATCAGGCCGATCAAGAGGGAGCACACGCACTCCTCCACCATTGGGCTTAGCAGGCCCTAGGTACATACACGGGATGAGGCGGCGGCCTCGATTCTCAGGCTTCTGCTTCGCAGGTTTGGCAAAACCCTTGCACCCAAAAGGAAACGTCTTCGTTACTGGAAGATGTTGGCGTCTCAGCCTTTCAATTGGCGTGGTTTGCGACTTCGAGGTCGCATGCAGGTTCCTTGTCCTGGCAACATATCTCAAAGCTTCCTTGTACAACAAACCACCCAGCCGGAGCTTCTTCTCCAGCGTAGTTTCTAGCGTCAACCAATTCACCCAGAAGGCTTCCTTCAAGTGTCGCACACCTACCTCCACAAGCCCTTTCGACTGCGGCCGTCCTTTCGGCACCGCGTCTATGTGCAACGAGAGGCCTGGGTATGAGCGGTCTTTTCCCACCTTGTTCCAAAGCGAGATCAGAGACGCTTCATTATCCATCCTCAGCACAACATGCTGACCTTGAATACCTGCGGCGGCCAGCTCGGCGTTTATACACCGTGCAACATGCCCTGGATCACCTCCTGTGGGGTAGGGCACAGCGAAACAATATCCGCTAAGCTCGTGCACCACAATGCACACTCTCAGGTCTTTCGTAAAGAACAAGAAGTCGCTTAAGAAGCTTGCTTGCGGAATTGAAGGATCTTTGCGCCTTCGCGCTGGAATCACTCCTCGACTGGACACACACAAAGAACACGACGGCAGATAGGGCTGATGGCCCCGAGCAACGTGCTCCTGATACTCTTTATCCTCCAGTGGAACATGAAGTTCCCCTTCTTCAAGGGCCCAGGCGGCGTCAAACGTAATATTGTCCCAATCTAATATATTCTTATAAGCCAAACAATCTTAGCAATCATATTGTTATGGGCATGTCTCTTTCCTTTATAAAATGCTGAAATGAAGATGTGAACAGTGAAAACGACGCGAACTACCGAGCGAAAAACATCCAATTTTGCCAATGAATTTCCCATTCCAATCCCAATCATTTCATCTCACACTTCATAATATTAATGGTGCATTGAAAATAATAAAAATGCACGGTAATAAAGTGAAAGAATGCGTGAATGAAAAGATAGCATAACATACAAATTGTGTTCAATTCGTGAACGCTGTTGCTGTGCGGCTGTGAGCAGGTGACCCACGCAACGAAACATAGCGCAGGCGGCTGCTGAGAAGCCAAAAAGTAGAATCATGAATCATGGTGTCGGTGTAATTTTTTGCGAATTGCATGGAGCTCCCCAGTCCCCAGTCCCTTGCCAGCCCCGGCCAACCCCAAGTCGCTTTAGGAATAGTCTTGTCGTTTGAGGGCGCTGCAACGAGGTCAGAACTCAAGATGTAAACCCTAAGATCATCAGAGTGTTGACTTTGGGGCTGGTTTCAAGTGCACGGCTCACGCCTGCAGCGTTTAAGGTTGTAGGGTTTTAGGGTTATAGTTCTAGGCCTAGGTGGGGTTGGGGGTTTTTAGGGCTTGCGGGCTTGAGAGTTTTCATGGTTTTAGCGAGCCCCGGAAATCCGAAATGCATGTAGGAAGTAGGAAGCCTGGGGCCTGTTCAAACTGAACACGACGCATATGGCATATGGTGGTCGGCATGAGAATCAGCCAAGAAGCGGCCTTACAAGATCCTAAACCCTAAACGAGCTGTTGCTGCACAGCTTTTCTTTCGCAATCACTCCATCTCTGAGAGTTGGGGTTGCCAATGCCGCTGCCACTGCCACTGCCACCTGGCGCCAAAAGTCACACATGTGTCGTGAATCCATGAGTGCATGGCATCATGGCATGATTGCCGTACCACATCGATTGCAAGATCAGCGCCTCACAAAGATATTTTCAGCACTGTGCTGAAGTCAGAGTGAGTGTCAGGTTTGTTTGACTCTCTCACGAAGTAATCAACGGTCTGCACCAGCTTTCGCCTCACATTGCCTTGGGTACCCTAAACCCTCAACCTTAAACTTAAACCCGAAACCCTAAACCCTACACCCTAAATCCTAAACCCTAAACCCCTAAAGCCTCAACCCTAAACCCTAAACCGTGGCTCTTGGACAGATCTGAGTCTGAGTTCTCGCAGGCTCGCAGGCTCCAACTGGTGGAAACCATCGTTGTTTCGAAATATTGCACGCCAGGACATGCGCCACCGTGCACCACCACTCAGAGACCACTGAATCGCTAAGCGAGTCGAGTGCCTATATGAAGCCTATGTCCTGGTCAGGTGCAATATGAACGATAAAGATGATCAAGAATTAATCAAGAATTCCGCGGAAGTGCGCATCAAAGCCTGGAACGAAGAAATGACTGAAATCGATAGGCCGGCTGACTCCGGCTGACGGTCTGCACCAGCTTTCGCCTCCCATTGCCTTGGACTTTGGACAGATCTGAGATGATCTGAAATCTCGCAGGCTCCAATCACCGGTGCAAACCATCGTTGTTTCCAAATCTTGCACGCCAGACAAGGACGTGCACCAGTGCACCACTCAATTTCACTCAATCGCGAAGCGAGTGCCTGTATGGTCCAATGCAATATAAACGAAATATGATAAAGAATGAAACGTAGGTTGGAAGTGCACATGCAAAACGGGCTTGAAGCCAAGAATTGCCACTCACTGCCGACTCACTGCCGCTCACGCTTACAGAGCTTCACTGCTTACTTGGGTGTTGCTGCCTTGCGCTTCAGGTCCTCAGTTTTCTTGCTTTGGTCCCCCTGCTTCTTTGCTTCCTTGCGCTTCTTCTCCTCCTCCTCTGCCTTCTTTCTTGCTTCCTCCTCCTGCTTCCTCTTTGCCTTTGCCTCTGCCTCCTTGGCTTTGGCTTTGGCTTCCTCTGCTTCCTTGCGCTTCTTCTCCTCCTCCTCTGCCTTCTTTCCTGCTTCCTCCTCCTGCTTCCTCTTTGCCTCTGCCTCCTTGGCTCTGGCTTCCTCTGCTTCCTTGCGCTTCTTCTCCTCCTCTGCCTTCTTTCCTGCTTCCTCCTCCTGCTTCCTCTTTGCCTTTGCCTCCTTGGCTCTGGCTTCCTCTGCTTCCTTGCGCTTCTTCTCCTCCTCTGCCTTCTTTCCTGCTTCCTCCTCCTGCTTCCTCTTTGCCTCTGCCTCCTTGGCTTTGGCTTCCTCTGCTTCCTTGATGCGCTTCTTCTCCTCCTCCTCTGCCTTCTGTCTTGCTTCCTCCTCCTCCTGCTTCCTCTTTGCCTCTGCCTCCTTGGCTTTGGCTTCCTCTGCTTCCTTGATGCGATTCTTCTCCTCCTCCTCTGCCTTCTGTCTTGCTTCCTCCTCCTCCTGCTTCTTCTTTTCCTCTGCCTCCTTGGCTTTGGCTTCCTCTGCTTCCTTGATGCGCATCTTCTCCTCCTCCTCTGCCTCCTTGGCTTTGAATTCCTCTGCTTCCTTGATGCGCTTCTTCTCCTCCTCCTCTGCCTTCTGTCTTGCTTCCTCCTCCTGCTTCATCTTTTCCTCTGCTTCCTTGCGCTTCTTCTCCTCCTCTGCCTTCTTTCCTGCTTCCTCCTCCTGCTTCCTCTTTTCCTCTGCTTCGTTACGCCTCTCCTCCTCCTCTGCCTTCTTTCCTGCTTCCTGCTCCTGCTTCCGCTTTTCCTCTGAGTCCTCTGCCTCTGCTTCCTTGGGTTTGGCTTCCTCTGCTTCCTTGATGCGCATCTTCTCCTCCTCCTCTGCCTTGTTTCTTGCTTCCTCCTCCTGCTTCATCTTTTCTGCTTCCTTGGCTTCGGTTTCCTCTGCTTCCTTGATGCGCTTCTTCTCCTCCTCTTCTGTCTTCTTTCTTTCCTCCTCCTCCTCTTCCTCCTCCTTCTTTTCTTTCTCCTTTTCTGCCTGGGATTTAGGGTTTGAGTTTAGGGTTTTGGGTTGAGGGTTTAGGAGCTGGGGTAGGGTTGGGTTGGTTTAGGGTTTAGGGTTCAGAGTTTAATTAGGGTTTCAACCCTCTGTTTGCGGGGAGGGGGCTTGGGGCCGGGGAGTTGGGGACACTACCTGAGACCCAAGATGGGTAGGAAATTGGGTCTCACCTGATCAATGATCGCACGAATCGCACTTGCACTAGGCCGCACTGCGCCGTTGAAGAAGTTTCTGACCTAGTGCAAATATAGAGAGGACCCTAAACCCTCTAGGCTTTTGAATTGGGCTGACTGTCATAGCTGACTGACCCTTTAAGCTTGCATGTTAACGACGCCACGCCCCCACCACCAACCCACCCACCCACCCACCCACCCACCCAACCCACCCACACCCACACACACACACACACACACACAAATCCCTGAGCTCTACTCTCTAAACCTTGGTCCGGCCCACCCAAAAACCCGAATGACTGAATGTCCCAAGGCCCAAGTCCCAAGGTCCCGAGCCCGAGTCCCAGCCCTCCGACTCCGACCCTTCAATCTCAACCGAGGAGCCAGGAGCTCGTCCACAAACTCCTTCTGCTTGGTGTCCGAGTACAACACAAGATCGCTCAAGACGGGTATTGTCTTGCCTTGGTCCTTGGCCTCACCTACCAAGGCCCTGCACACAGCCGTGCCTGCCGTATCGCGGGGCACCGCAAAGCACACCTTCAATCCAAGGTTGTCTTCCTGCTCGTCATTGAACTCTGCAACGATGATTCCGGCTGGCAGATACAATGCAGCTGGAGGTTGGAAGACAGTGTGCCACACCTGTGGCGTATCCATCTTCTCAACAAACTCGAGGTACTCACCGAACTCACTGCGCTTCACATGTGTGGCCCATGCCACAGCATGGGATGAAAACAGTGGCTCAGCAGAAGATCCCTGGCCCTTCTTACTGGCTTGCTTCTGCTTGTGCCTGAGAAACTCCAAGATTGCCTCCTCGCGAAAGCAAACACAGGACCGCTCGCCTTGCAACCAGAATCGCACACACGGGAGTGCGCCCAGTTCGAACTTGACGCTGCGATGGCCCTTCACACAGCCCCAAATCGCGGGATCGAGCGCCTGCGACTTCCTCAGGTTTTGGAAGAGACATGGGTCGATGTCGTCTTTGCCGCACACGGTGTTCTTCGGAAACAAGCCCAGCAAATGCGTCCTGTCATAATGCTCATGCGACACGATGCACTCACTCTCACTTGTCTCTTCGATCCCAGCACATGTTCACACTCACACTAGCACCTCAATCATATGCTTCCGTGCTCCCTCGGCTCCCTGGGCCCTCTCTCTCTCTCTCTCCTCCCTCTCTCTCTCTCTCTCTCTCTCTCTCTCTCTCTCTCTCTCTCTCTCTCTCTCTCTCTCTCTCTCTCTGTCTCTCTCTGTCTCTCTCTGTCTCTCTCTCCTCTCTCTCTGTCTCTCTCTCCTCTCTCTCTGTCTCTCTCTCCTCTCTCCTCTCTCTCTCTCTCTCTCTCTCTCTCTCTCTCTCTCTCTCTCTCTCTCTCTCTCTCTCTCTCTCTCTCTCTCTCTCTCTCTCTCTCTCTCTCTCTCTCTCTCTCTCTCTCTCTCTTTCTCTCTCTCGGACTTAGGCTCCTTAGGGTGAAATGTTGAAAAACTCTGTGTTTCATGAGGACCCCCGGGCCTCACAGCTTGCGCGGTCGTCTCCTTGCATGATTGCTGGCCCTTCCCAGCAACAAGTCGGAGATCACGCTTTTTGAAACTCCTTTCGAAGGCTTCTATCTCTTCCACCAACGATGGCAAAGGTTTGTCAGTCTCTGTCAGGTTCTTCTTCGCATCCTTCAGAGGCACAAGCTTTAGCAGCGGACACGCGTCCTCAGGCAGGTCCTCCACATCCCAGGTGAACAGCCAAGGCTGTGACAAATTGTGATCCTTGTCCATGTGCGGGCCTCCGTCCACGTCACACAAGTCAAAATGAGGAAGGATGTCAAAGATTTGGAAGGCATGGTTGCCTTCTTTGGTTGCCTTCGCCTTCGCCGCCGCCTTTCCCTTGGCTCTCCCCATGGCCTGACTGCGGGCACCCTGGTCCCTGTTGGCGCTGGCTGTTGCTCTTTTGAGCTCCCCTGTTGCAGTTTTGCACGAAGCAATCAACTCGTCCCAGTGCTGACTGAAAGCTTTTACCTGCTTCAACGCCAGCACGATGTCGGCCTCTGTCCGGGCGTCCGCAAGGAGCTTCATCCCATCGAAGCCGGAAAGCGTGACCAGCTCCTTGAAGTTGCTGCACGGTCCTGCTGCCAGCAGGGCCTTCTCGTTCGCTGAGCCGGACGAGCGCACACTGCGTGCATCAACACCTGACCTGGCACATTGGCACATGTTTCACGCCCTCACGTAGACGTAAACTGAGCACAAGACCCTCTGCCCAGTACGACCTTCCCTCGTCGCTTGAACACATGAAGTCATGAAGTAATGTCGGCTAAGATGCTGCTGCAGCTCGGCACAGTACTTCTTAAAGTCATCCGCGGTGCCATTGAAGATGATCTGAAGTGCTTGCTGTCGAGATATCACGATGTGCAGCTCCACCACATTCGTGACACTGGCGGCACGGCTCAAATCTAACTGCGCTTTCATTGCAGCCAACTGGGTCCTCATCTTGCTTTCGGAGCGGTGCCTTGTTTCCCGGACTTGTCGCTCAGCCTTGGCCTTCTCAGTGCCGACATCAAACCATTTCTGCTTGCCTCCTCCCTGACCCTGACCCGGCTGGCCCTGGCCCTCCTTCCCACCAAGCTTCGCCTTCTTTTTCGGAGCCTCAGGCTGAGACTCTTCCGAGTCGTCCGAATCGGACCCAGAGCCATCATCCGAGCCGTCCGAAGCTGCGGCTGACGCTGGTGTCCCCGACTTGTTGCTTCCAAAGCTGGTGCGGCGGAGACTGGCAGCAGGCTGCTTGCTGCTGGCGGACCTCCCAGCTGCCATGGCATGCAGATCCGGAAGGGGAAGCTCTTGATTGAAGATGTTCTGCGCCGCCAAAGCGGCGCCATCGCCTTCGTCGCCACCACTGGCAGCCAAGCTGTCAACCAGGGAACCGATGCTCAAGCCCGCGCCCAAAGAGCCGTCCCCCGAGGCGACCAAGTTCGCCAGCTTGCCTTGCATTTCCTCCTCGCTCATGTTCGCATTCAGCCTTTGCTCACCTTCAATAGCCCGCTTTCTTGCCATCTCGGAAAAGTCCACCAGGTCCTCCTCAATCGGGACGGCGATTTTCTTGCCACGCTTGACATAATCCCTGCTGTTCCACATCTCCTCCCATTTTTTCTCAGCCTGGCTCTTCGTGAGGTCACCGCCTTCCTCGGACCTGGCATAGGTCATGAACCTTTTCTCTGTCATGAAGCGGCGGCGGCCTTCGAAGCGGACCCCGGCTTTTGCCTGAAGCTCTTCTTTGTACTTCTTGACGTTAAACCGCACACGTCCGCGGGCCTTGTCATGTCGCACTTCTCTTTCTCCTTTTGGTAGGCCTTGTTCATGTTCTCCTTCTCAACCTCGCTGAGGCTATTGTACCAATCCTCCTCATTCTGCCGCGCCACTGCTCGCTTCACATTTGTCGTGGCATGCGAACAATCCTTGCACTCCGCTTGCCCAGCGTAAAACTGGGACTCTGCCTTCTTCTTCTTGCAGCTGCGGCATTTCTTCTCCACGGTGTCGGACTGATCGGCAGTCCTCCGCACTCTTTTCGGAGGCGAGCGGGACTTGGAACTTGCAGGTGTTCGGCTGCGGCCCCGGGATCGCGCTCGCTTCCTCTTGCTGGCTCCACTGGCTTTGTCTTGGTTCTTGTTCTTGGGGCCCTTACCCCCCTTCTTGGGCGCAGGCAACTTGGGCGGAGCCATGCCCAAGTTCAAGCCATCCTCCTCAACACACAAGGGTTCATCCATGCTCAGCGGCCCGCAGCTCAGCGAGCCACGGCTGTAAAGCTCTGATCTGTGGCTTTCTAACTCACCAAATCGCAAAGTGAAAACTCAGAAATGATACTATGTCTGAATCTGTAACATATCGGCACTGGCACTCTCTAAGCGGTCGCTCGAGAGACAGACACTGTGTCACCCCCACTGCGTCACTCTTGTGTCAGTGTCATCATCGTGCGACGCTGGCAAGATCCGAGATTGAGGAACATGTATGTGCAGCGCAGAGTGCAAAACACGAGACACTAGGACAAGGGATGAGAACAACCACTGAAGCAATCATTGACCTACAGACCGTCTAGACCCAGCACAAGCGATGTAGTCCGATGTAGCACACATCGATGGCTTCTGGTGTGCAGTCGATGATGATAACACTATCCCGGTACTAGATGCAATGACGCTGTCGCCTGCTGCCAAGCCAGCCGCGCTTCAGCCCGATAGCTGACCAGTCCACACATGTGACACCTGGCACCGCCAGGGTCAATATTCATGGGGCTTAGGCGGCTTTAGGCTTCGGGCTCATATTCGATGGTTTGGGGGTTGGTATATATGGAGAGTTTTGACTTTGGGTTTGCAGAGGGTTGATGGCGTATCGGGGCGACAGCGTGTCACGGCCTGAACAGCCTGAACAGAACTCCAAGTCCAAGTCACACCTGGGACCGGGACCGGACCCCTTCCTCCCCCCAATGGGCACCAGTCGAAGTGCCGGGGCCGCTGGAACCCTTAAGCGAAAACATGTTCCTAAACACTCAACACGGCAAAAAAACACGATGCTCTGAAACTACAAGGATGAAGCATCTGACTGACTCTGCGCTCTACGCTCCTACCCACTACCCATCAATTAGAGCTTAGAAGCTTTAGCGATTAGCGGCCACTTGCCGGCCTGCCGGCTACAGTTTACAAGAGTAAGATTTAGGCGTTCAGGGTTCAGGTTCAGGGCTTAGGGTAGAATAGAGTTTAAGGTTCAGGGCTTGGTGTCTAGAGTTTAGGTTTTTAGTGCGCAACTTCAGCTCCTGCTTGGCCTGCACGGCATGGATGGAGTTGTCAAAGCGCCGAACATAGTACGTAGGTCTGGCCCCTGAGGCTGGCAGGATTCAGGCTTCAGGTTCAAAGTTTCGGGTTAGTACGAAAACCCCGTAAGTAAGGAAGAAACGTAAGCTGCAATGAGGAAGTCTTTGTTGAGAAAGACACCAGCCGTCCGTGAATTCTATGGACCCCTACTTAACCCTAAACCCCAACCCCTATATAAGCCATCCGTCGAACTCGTCTTGCCTCATCGCGGCCGTCCGCTCAATGTCTTGGCCACCTGCTGAGCGCTGAGCTTTGCTAAACTTGTTCAGGGTCTTGGGGTTTACCGGGGTTTGGGTTTAGGGTTGAGGGGTCTGGGTTTAGGGTTGAGCGGTTTCATGGGATCATCTACTTTCACAAACCCCCACTCTTTCCACGAAAGTTCAGCATGAACTGTTTCCGATTCCTAAGAAGTATTACTTGCTGACGCTTACAACAAATGAAGATTCAGGCTTCAGGTGTTGGCAGTTTATGACACACACACACACACGCGCACACAGCTTACAAAGGACTCACACAGTGTTAGTCAGTCAGTGACTTACTGACAGAGGAGCCGGTTGTCCAGGACCAACTCCAATCGAACTTGCCATGGGGGACGATTTCGGAGAATTTCGGGGTCCCTGTCTCTCTGACCATCTGTTTACTTGAGGATGTCTTGTGTCTTGGCAGCACATGAAGCCAGGAAGAGGTGCACAAACACATATTGGCGACCGTTTCCCATTGTTGCATTTCACGGAAACGTGCTCAGTGCTCAGTCGAGGCCCTCGAGGCCGCAGGCCGCCTTTTGCAACCCCAAAATGCAACCAGTGCCATCAATCATCATCATCATTGCGGAACTCGAACATGGCGAAGATGGTTTTAATTCGTTCATTCACAGTAGCAAATTTAGCAAACACTACAGCTGAATTTGTGTATCATGTCGACTTAAGGCCTTAAGGCACTGGTCACTGGTTCGTCGGCCATGCGCTAGCAGCCTGGTGGAAAGCATAGGGCCGCTAATAGGGCCCATAGGGCATACATAGGGACAGCAAGAAAGACTCAGAACTTTGGGTCGGACAAGAAAGATTGCAGAGATTCACAGAGTCGGCGAGTTCTTCGGCCACACGCTAGCGAAGGATCAAGCGACGAGGAGCACGCGGACCAGGAGCCTGGGCCTGGGCCGGGGCTTCAGTCACAGTGTCAACCCTTGCCACCTTCCGTGCTCGCTCCAGCCGCTCCCGCTCCGGCTCCGGCTCTATCCCTGCATCATCGCGCGAAGTCGCAGACTGTGCTTTCAAAGGAGGAGGAGGAGGAGGAGAAGGAAGGTCTGGGCTGAAGTTGCAGAACGGGGCGGCCTCCTGCTCTTCAAGTTCCGGTTCCTCAGGTTGCTCCTCAATCTTCACGACTGGAACTGGGACTGGGACGCGTTGCTCCTCAACCACCTCAACCTTCATGACTGGAGCCTCTGTAGTGCAGCTTAGAGCAAAAAGGAGCACGGAGCCGATGCAATGCATATGCATTGCGTTGCCAATCATTCTTCTCATTGCGCCGTCAGGGATGGCACCTTTCTTGCCCATGTCGGAGTCCGAAACTTCTTCCCTGAACGGGCAGGGATACCGGCTGGCTGTCACACAGGCATACCCTTGGATCTCACACATCTCCGAAAGCAGCAGGTGTCGCTGGTGGCGCATGCTCCAGAGTCGACTTTGTGTCAGCAAGGTAGGGCACAGCTTTCCAACAGGGCAGCGCTCGGGGTTTTGAGTAGAGTTCATGATGCAAGATGCAACCTGACCTGGCTGCAGGGAAAACTGCAGACGCACCAAGCCTTCCCAGTCCCGAATCCGACTGCGCACTGCAGATGAAAGAAGAGTCTTGGGCTGCCAAATTGACCCAGTCGGTGAGGTGGCAGGCAAGCCTCTCGCCAACGCGATGTTTGTGCTGTGCCGGTCCAGCACTTCTTTCGGCGCTGACCCAAAGTGAGCGCAGTCAAGGGTAGTCTTCTGACAAAAAAGTTGTCTCCAGGAGTTTGCAGGGTCTGGAACACAATCAGACTGCCATGCCAGGTCTGACTTGCGCAGAAGAACCATGTACGCACGACGACGATGGACTGGGACACCCATCATCGAAGGACAAATGTCGAACACGGCCATCGTGTACTCGGCAAAAATCTCTTGGATTGAAGCATCATCGATGGCTGGTGTGCACTCGATAACGATAACACTTTCCTGGTAGAGATGCCTCTCTCTGGCCCAAGCCAAGAAAGGAATGACGCTGTCGCCAAGCCAGCCGCTCTTCAGCCCGATAGCTGACCAGTCCACACATGTGACACCTGCCACCGCCAGGGTCAACATCTTTTTTGGCACATGGTGGGCATGTGCACATTGACTCTGCAGGTGCCTGTAACACCATGGATTCTGCGTGAGTACATTCTTGGACATAATCTGGATCGCCTCATCCAAAAATTTACGGCCCCACAATCGACAGGCGTCTTCCTGTCGCATCTCCTCGACTTCTGTGGCCTGCTTGGCTCGTTGTCTGCAATCCCGCAGCAGCGCCTCACACTCGGTCAACAAGTCAGAAGGGCATCTCTCAAGCATGTCCCCCAGCACACAACATGCACCAGGTTCTCCAAGCCCAGCTGATTGCCCCAGCAAAATGCGTCTGCAGAACTTATCGCAATCCGAGGCCCGCAGCAAGCGAAGGTTCTGCGGTATGTCGGAGTCCCCAAGCCTCGTCCCTAAGGCTTGGAAAAGAAAATGCAAAGCAGTTTCTGGCGACCCAAGGCCGGAGTAATCGCTGACAAGGCAGACGCCCTTGCGAGCCTTCCGCACAAGCTCTGCCATCTGGCCATCGCCCAACTTCTCCAAGAACAAAGCTGGCCAATCAAAAAGCATCTCGTAGGACTCGGACTCGGAACTGCCCTGAGGCTCCTTCGCCTCCACAGCCTCCCCCATCTCCCAGTCCCACTCATCTGGCAGCAGTTCCTCCATGGCCATGGATGGACTGCTTGTTCAAGGCTTGTTCAGCTCTTGAACAGGAACATGGAGAAAGAAGTCAGCTTGTGTAACTTAACTTGTAACTTGAAGTAACTTCAAGTAACTTCTCTTGCCTCTTGCAACAAGAGTTGCGTGACTAGGGCATTGCAATTAATGACAACCTGCACAGTAGCTTAAGCGAAGACACGCTGAAGGGTTCCAACAGTTTCAACTTCCAACCATGAGCACAACAGTTCCCTGTGTCACAGCACCAGAACCAAAAGTTGCATCACAACATCATACATCAGGATCAGGAGGCGTCGGCCAATCGAGACCCCCATCAATGAAGTAACTTCCCAACGCACTTAGAAACACAGCAACACAGCCATCACCCCACTACATTGTCACT